TGAAGAGAGGAGAAAGAGCAAAGGCCGGCTCACTGCTGGCGCGGAGAGGAATGGGAAAGGTGGCGGCGGCGGAGGAGGGAGACGAGGAGGAGGATGGGGGAGAACTATTTCAGCTTTTACGAGGCCGTCGTGGCGTATCCGTTTTGCGGGGTACGACGTGCAAAACGATCGATAACACGCTCGTAGCGTTATTACCGACAGGTATACGAAGGTGGGTAGCAGCGGTACTACCGGTAATAATGTGGCTTTTACGGTCGTGGGCGCTGGTACAGCTGCCGCCAAAGTCGGTAAGCGTGGGTTTCCAGCGGGTTCTCAAATGCCGGAGCAGCAACCGAATTTTCGCCGCTATTACCGCCGTCTCTGCTGGCTCTCGCCCTCCCCCGTCTTCCGACCAGCACAAAGGGAGCCAGACTTTGGGTTACGTGTACCTGGTCTTTATTGATCGAAGATGGACTTTCGATGATGCACCGCACCGAAAATCAAAGATACAAATTGCGCATCTCGATATCATTCGCATGAAGAAATATTGCTGTCAGTTCGAATGATATAAATAAATACTTCAAGCATAAGAATTGTACTTGTAATTTCCGAATGTTTTATATTAGAGACGACTGTTGGAAAATTCTGAAAAAATATTGTATTTAAAGGAACTGCGGATTTTTGTAGAACGAACCAATGATTTTGAGTCTTACGATGCCTTTCTACAAGCTCTATAGTCAGGATCAACGACGAGTGTATAGAGAAACAGTGTACCTAATTCTGCGAAGCGTGGATTTGAGTTCATGTTATTGAATACACGTATTTTTTGAACCAAGTTTGTCATCAAATTAAATAATATCCGCGCTAAGTATGCGACGCTTTAATAAAATAGGAATAAAAACCGTTCCAACATTCCTGTTACTTAGTATGTTTAATGAAATTGTAGAAGACATCATTAACATTTAACTACACCTTAGAATACTTCGTGCATGTGAAGAGCGAGTAAGAAACAGTAATGGAATACGCAATTCGTTCGGTCGAATAGCTACCAACAACTAGCAAAGATATCTCTTGAATGCCGGTAATTAACCACGATTACTTGACGATTATATAGTTAGCAGGTTGCGTCGATTATCTGCGAAACGATGCGTTCTACGGACCTGTATTACTACGCCGTAAGTACTTACTTACGGGAAACTTTTCTTCCCCTCCATCACGGGCAGAATATTCGTCGGGTCACGGAACAATGTTTCTCGCGCGCCCGCGTCTCGATTTCCATGCAAAGTGTTTCCTGAATCCTTTTTTCCTGAGTAGCGTCGTTTACGAGCTGAAATTGGCCGACGGAGAAGAACCATGCGCGCAACGTTTATACTGGAGGCGTAATCAGTGAACGGAAGCCGAAGCAGCGGCACGATTTCCGCCGCTTATGCCGCTCGCGTCCATGTGCACGCCTCGGGGCGACTGCTTACGTGGGCCGTGACAACTGCATCCGGCGCATCGAAGGATTACCGTACGTCCTGTACGCAATCACGTCGGCCGATTAAGCGCCGAAAAAGCTCGAATCTACTAAACTTTACCGCAACCGATACCCAAAATCTTTCACCGAACTTTGCATACAATACCAAAGATTGTCACGTTGACTCAACTTAGTCCTTGATTTCGTTTTATTCTCGCCTCTTAATCTTGTATTGACTACATGTATCGAAATTCAGGACGATCGATCTTTTTTATCCTGGACTTCTATACGTGGATATGTTGATTTTCATTTGGCGTTTATAAATTTTCTACCGATGAAGAATCGATTATAAATGGTCAGATTTAATTATAATATCCTTTGGGTCCTTTCATTCTAGAATTATTCCTTGCCTTTTAACTCGGAATGAAATTGTTTCTTATCGGATTCAAGCGACTGCAATTAATTGAATGTAACGATGATGGTTGCAACAACCATAATATCAGTTTTAATTCGCTGAAAATTTATCGTGCGATACGATTTTAGGGGGAGTTAACGGGTACAGGAATACAATGCGTTTATTTACGATCCTACAATGTAGCAATCGAGATAATAGTCAAGTTTATGGCCGGTAGCACACGATTCGTATCACCGGACGGTGCGGTATCGCGTGTGAAAATTCGCTCCCTGGGAACGGTTTTTGCGAAGGAGAACGGTGGTTGCATGAGCCACTGACAAATGAAAAACCGTCGGTAGGCGGATGAACCAACCTTATTCGTTTTATTTCTTGTTTCAGGGTCCACCGCAGCCTGGCCAGCAATATAAATTTTCAATCGGCGAGCTGTGCGATCGTATTAAGGAGGACTTCAACTTTCTTCAGTCACAGTATCACAGGTATATACCTACGGCCTATACTTTCCGCGACCATAAATCAAGCCCTTCATCTGCAGGCGCACCTTCGTTACTCGAAAAACCGCGAACCGTACATCAACCGTCGATTCGTATCGGTGTAATTACATTTAATAATTGTCCCGTCGCTGAAAGCGCGTCTACGTCTCTTCGAAAACACATGATCCTAGAAATAAATCTGTGTTTCTATGGAGACCGGTTTCCGTCTTTAATTATCGGTGATTTCGAATCGTCGTTAAGTACACGGTACCGCTCACGGTTATTCGACTCGTCCTAGTAATCTTGACCAGAAAATAAACGAAAAAGACACGTCTCGTTCTGAATATACTTTATTACTCTTTATTACCTAATTAAACGAAGGTGTGCCTTGAATCGCGTTCATAACTAATGCCATTAAAGGCATAAAAGGAAAGGGAATTATTTATCTTTGCACGGTATATCTCTAATAAAAAACGAAACCTTTCATTGCAAGTTCCGATAGGAGCAAACTTTGCCTTAGTTACTCAGGCTTTCTATATTCCATTTGTCATATACTTAAACATAAACAAAAATATACCGCGAAGCGAAAATCTTTAAATCGGACACAACTTTGTTACCCTGTATTAAAGTAATTTATGAACAGGCTGTCATTTTAACAATTCGAAGGCAAAGTATTTTGAGATACTAACAAATTGGAGACTTCAACGAACAAATCCTTGATCTACCGAAAGAATGTACGCTTGTCAGGTAATTTCGTATTTTTCCAAAACCCGCGACGGAGTAAATGGAAAAAAAAGATATTCCCGGGGTATGGTCAATTATCAGCGGCATAAAAACCGAAAGTTCTGTCTACTGAGAACCGACGGGTTGAATGCGAAAAGCCGTCGCTTAACAGTTCCAACAATTCCTCGTTTCTCAGCCGTTATCTTGTCTTCGCTGTAACATTCGCGTCGTATTTCCCTGGGTGTTACGAGCGAAAGAGGAAGGACATTCGCTGACGGCAATTCATTGACTGCAGTCAATTCCCAGGTACAACCGCCGTGGGGCGGGGGATCTTATCTAGGAAACGTTTGCGCAAACGTCGTGTTGGCGCGTAGGCGAAGCAGCCAGACAAATCGACAGATGTAGGCAGGGAATTGTTTGTCCGAGCGGAAGCTATGCACGGTGAAGTATGCACATAGCCCGGAGGACGAGGAGAAACCTCGCAGTTTCGACTCCGTCCACGCGTGTTACGCGTCCGTGAAGTCGCTTCAGCTCCTTTACGAGCTATTCAGCCCGCAACTTTTTTCCCCACCTGGCCAGGACACAGCTCTTTTCCCGGATTTACTCCGAATCGTATCCGCTTTTTTTTATTCAGCAAGATGTAACGACTTTAACCGTTCACCGCGACGTGCAATAATTTCGAGATCTTGGTCTTTTGGTACCTTAACCGCAGTAAACGGGAAATTATTAAATTGCCGCACAAGTTTTTTAGCCAACAGAGTTTATTTTCTATAAACTCGATTTTTGAAACCGGTTTGCGGTTATTTCAGACAACCGCGGCTGAATGAATGTATCATTGCGATTTGCGAATCCGTGTACGGACATTCGTATAGTTGTTTGTGTCAGCCGTTTTCGTAGATCTTTATTTACGATGTCTTAGTCACCTGAAAATATTGATTACGAAAATGTGACTTGTATTATTGTAAAATTATTCACATAAGAATGGCACGCCTAAACTCAATTACCATTTGATTTTCTCTTAAATGGATACTGTTTTTAATAAGCAGTACTTTTTCTCTAAGTTCAATGAAAACGAGCGAACAATTAAATTCCATTTATCTTGTTATTTCTCTTCCACAAAACCAGCAGCGAAAGAAAGAAGTGCTTTATACGCATTGATATAACACGGAACGAAACGAACCGTGACGCGAATGAGGAAGATCGTTATAAATAATACAGATCACGTAGTTGATTAATTGGGTCGCATCGTGTGAGAATTTACCGAGCGATAACTCGAAGGGAATCGCGAGCAGACGTTCACCACTAGTGAACGGTAAATCCTGCGACAAGGGTTGTCGCGCGACGAGGCGGCAGTATCGGAGTTTCAAGAAAGTTCATTGGGAACGCGGCGGCGTCCCGGCCATTCGGAATATACAATGTCGTAAAAATGTAACAAGCATGCGAATACAGAGGGGTAATCGACTGATAGGATCACACACGCAACCCGTCGCGTCGCGCAGAAAAGTTGCTCGATAAGGGGGTACCGATGGGGAAGGAAAGTTTCTCGGTGGTGCGATGCCACGCCGGTTTTCACCGGTCCGCGCCCGACGATCACTATCGGCGGCTTGACACGTTAATTTATGTCCTGGCCCTTTAACGTGTTAATCCGCGACGTCACGTGCCGCACGATTTCTACCGTCGACGGAAACTTAAATTGCTGTTTCGTGTCACAGCGGCGCGCACCGGGTCAGAGGGGCTGGGAGGCGGGGTTGCAACCGGAGGAAAAGAGACCGGGACTCTCGGGACTGTGTACATACATGCATAAATACGCACGAGACGTACGTGAGCGGCCTGCAACATTTCGACGCGTCCGCAATCCGATGTGGGATGCTCGCGAACTAACCGATTTCGCACTCCTTTGATCTTTCGGCTCCGAAATATACGAACGATTTGACCATCGCCCCAAGGTTTTCTTTTGTTTTCAATCGATCTAATTATTGTTCCAAAGTTCTCCATGATGTCTAACAATGTAATTAAGTTTCTGAGAAATCTTGACGTCCTATCTCGATGGCCCTTCAAGTAACGTGTGTCGCAAAGTGCAATTAAAGAAGTAGTTCTTCATATATTCAACTTATTTTTCATGGATTTATCGTAGGAGTTGTTTTATTGGCTGGTGGCCCCCGTTTGTCTTGCTGGCGACGGTAGATAGCGATAAGTGAGCGAGAGGGAACGAGAGCCCCATTATACTATGGGGATTGCGATGGCATTGCGAGGGGGTCGATAAAACGCAATTACAAAGGGGGAATACCGTATTTATATTCTCGATTATTCAGTTACCGTGGTTTAGCACGTGCACGTACATGTATGTCTTCTTTCCGAGCTGAATGGTAGGGAGCAAAATGTTTGAACAAAGGTATCATTAAAACGTATTTACATTAATAGATTGCTACAAAATTTAAAGCTTTTCTTAATATCAGTTTTATTCGATGAAAATTAGTAATGTCTTTCATATGAAACCATGCTCTATTTTCCATTTACCTCAAAATATTTATGAATGAACTCAATGCCGTGCATATGAACTCAAATAAGAAGGGAAATTTGCCCGACAACGTCCCGACAAGCCTGTCAACGAGCATCGCCTATTCAAAACTCCCGCTCGCTCCTTTCCCGTGTGATTTATTTTCCGGGGCGTTGATTACAGGTAGCCGCGCGCAAGAATTCCGCGAGAAGAAAGATTGCACAAGCCCGGGGAGAGTTTTCCGCGCAAACGGTACCACCGCGCGGAATAATTCATTTTATGTCTGTATTATGCGCTCGATGATGCGGAAAGTGGCGGAGCGGCGTTAGTTTTATTATCAGACGGGGCGCGCTCGGATAAATGTTCCCGCGAGTTTCGCTCCGGTTGGCCGGGAAAACGGCCGGAACAACAGTCGAGAGGGTTGGAGGCATAGAGGAAATGGGAAGGAGGCGGTCGAAGAGGGGCGGCAGGACTATAAATTTCGTCCGCTTACAAATTGAGAGTGGCTGAACCACCGAGAATTTTCGCGGCTGCTCGACGAGGAAACAGGTGCTCGTTTCCGCATGTTTATATCTCGGGAACGGTCCACCGCGGAGCGGGGAGGGGTTGGTGCGCGTCTTGTATACCGTTGCCGCGCGTCAATCTGAAATAATTAATGGACCAGCCCAGTCGGTTGCGTAACCGGAATTATCGTCCGGCCGATCGTTAATATCGCGCTAATTTATCGTGACGAAGCCGCGATCTAGCACCATCGCCGCGGTCACGATCGGGAACGTATAAAACCGAGCCTCTCCTTACACAGCCGCTGAAACCCGCTAACGATTAACCGAATAATTCACCTCCGCATGCCTTTAAACGAGCTAACGGGAGAAATAAATGAAAAAGAAAGAAAGAGGGAAAAGGAGGGAACGTATCTTGTTACCAGTATCGGGCGCGGAGATCGCGAATCGGTCGCTGCTTTACGCGAGACCCTCTTCTATACACGCGAGACTTACGTGTCCAGTCCGGTCGCCGTACAGGATGATTCAGGGAGATGGGACGCAGCTTTGATTTTATTGGAGGAGAATGGAATAAAATGCCTTAATAAGCCGTGCATACTGATGCCTCCTCTTTTTTTAACGAACAACGATGCAATGGAAGAATCAAAATGTTTTCTGTACTGGACTCGCGTTCCTTTTCTGTGAAAAGAGTTGTCTTGATAAAGTCAATAGTTTGAGATTTATGCGTTAAAGCCGTTCTCTAGAAGCAGTAGAAGCTAGCAATTTACTTTTACAAATGTGTTTCTCAAGTTTTTTGGTTTAAATCATCTGTAAATTGCTCAAATGACAATGAAGAGATAAATAAATAAACATTTGAATGAGAATAATTATAGTGGAAAAGCAAGAATGATAATAAGCAGGATATAATCGTAATATCTATTCATATCCACTCTGCTATTCATCAATAATCCCTTCATAGCCTAGCAGTACTAGTCTATGCGCTCTTGCGATAAAGGCTCTGTAAGTCTAGGGCATGTATTCGCTAACAATGCAAACGGGTTAAATTCATTCGTACCAGAGTGCAGGAGAAAGCCAACAGAAAAGTAAAATTTGTTAGACCATTCAATTTTTCTCTGTCGCTTAAGTTTCAACGGAATCGAATCACCTATCCCCGTTAGGTGAATCTTCCTGTACAATGATTCAGTAGTAAAGGTAGAAGCCCAGTGCTTGTTGTACTCTTGCTTTCCCGATTCCAGACTCGAACGGAGAACAATAATTGCCTATCAATTTCCATCGATGGGCCCGCGCAGTAGCACTCAATTTCGCCCGAAGCGACTGTGAGATTAGTTAATCGCCTTAGTGTCCTCTTCTTCTTTTGGAGCTCTGTCCAATTACAGTAACGAATGGAAATTGCTGCGCGGAGTCTCCCTTTCCGTCGAACGTTTCCGTGATTGATAATCGGCCGCTCGATGTGTTGTTATTGGAAATGTTTCTTTCCTTTTTTGTTTCTCCTTGTACAATAATAGCTTTTTCTTGTTTAGAATCGCCGTCAACTTTCCCCGTGAACTCTCCGTTATGTTAGAAGGAATCATCTCATTCATTACTGGGAACTACGAGACACAGCTGACAAATATCACTGCACAGATGAAGACAAACTTTTGTCTACGCAGACAAATTTTTACCTGTTGGTTATCGGAGATTATTATTTCCGTCTTTATTTTTATTTATTTATTTCTTTATACTTTCCTAAAAAAATATTACAAAATTTGTTATTAGTACAAAGTTTAATTCTTCTCTAACTACAATTTTGTAGTCTGACTACAAGTTTCTCTGACTAAACTACAATTTCGTTTTGATATATTTCGCAAAAGCTCCAGACCAGTTCCGTTCTCATCACAAAGCGTTTAAAAAAATCGACGACTATGTCTCGACGATCATTCGTACTTCGTTCGGAATTAACTGTTTTATTAACTCCCTCCCTCGCGCATCCTCAAATCGGAGTGCGAGAAACGGGCCGGTGAAAAAAATACAGATATAGAGGCATTACGTGATAGTAAGCCGAGGGGGGAGAAAAGTATGGCGCCAGTTTGCACAGGGCGGTGGTGTGCGCTGTTTTGGAATTACAAGGCGTCTCGCGTTTCGCCGCCGCGCATTGAAATTAATATTTAACCCGCGACGCATCGCTGTTCGTCAACTGACATTTTAATTGGTCACGTATCGCGCGGTGAATCATATTGCGAGAACCTTATCGACCGATCGGAATAAATTCCGCTTTACCATGTCCCTTACACTCACTTTGGCCCCGGTTATTCCAATTTATTTGAATCTTCGCTGTTTACAGAATAGAATATTAATCTGCGACGTGTCTCCGAATTTCCCTCACGCCCTTCGCGCAGAGATATGAACTCTGCGCGTTGCCAGCACTGTTTCTGCATCGTGGAAAAATGTAAATTTGTCTGTCCTTCTTCGTAAAGCTCACACTTCTGCACGAACAGTCGGTGTGTATAATACAAAGTCAAGATTAAAATTCTGTTTAACAAAAATTAAAACTCGTGGATTGTACCTTGGAGAACAAGGCTTTAATTTTCTGTTAACTCTCTGCGAACCTCGTAAGTTTCAACACAGCTAGAGGTATACGTTTAGAGAATGCACTTTATTGGTCTTGAATGGAAATTGAGTTTTGGAGCTAGCCGGTAACAAATAGTTGGCAATCTTTAAATCTGCACCCGTTCGAATAGTGTTCGAATAATTTAAAACTAATTTAAAACTGATTTAAAACTAATTTAAAACTAATTTAAAACTAAAATCCCAAGTCAACTGCCACTCCTACGGAATCAAGAATATACTTTCGAACATTCCTTACGCAACTACACCATCAAGAAACTCATGTTCAACACGAAGTTATTCTTCCAGTGCTTGTAACCAGTTGCTAAAACGAATCGTCGGCGGGCAGTCCTCAAAATCCACGTGTTCGCGATACCGACACGACACGAGGTTCGTTAATGCATCGTGCGGCATTCCGCTTTCCATTCGCGACAGGAGAGAGTTGCGTCGCGAGTGCTAGAATCCAAAACCAGCAAACTAGCGCGAGGAGGAGGAAAAAAAGCGGATAGAAACATAATTCTTGCGTAATTGGCGTTGCAACGCGGGAAAAGCCGGGAAGAATTATCTAGATGTCGAGGCCGTTTCTGTTCGTTCGTAAAACACTGGGCACACGGGGCGGACGTGCGTGCAAAAACGTGGTGGCCCGTTCTGCATACGGCGCGCTGCGTGGGGCACTCGACTATTACGAGCACATATTTATTAGAGGCGCGGCGATGCAATTTCGTCGGGACGCAGCGCGCCGAGTCTATTCCGCTGTCACGCCGGTAAACAAAAATATGACACGGTCCTGGGTGTCGTTAAAAAATTACTGCCATCGTAAAAGGGGGGTCGTACACGCGCGTTCCGCAGGCGAATCATTGCGCCGCTCGGATCGATGAGGAATTAATTTTCCATTTTACGCTCTATTACTTTGAGTGGGCGCGATAATAACTCAGTCGCGATAAAGATCGATCACACCTCACCTGCCGCGGGGAAAAACGTGACGTCGTTTGATTGCCGGCCCGTGATTGTCCATTTTCGACGGTGTTCCTGACGGTTTCGATGCTGCCGCGCGTCGTGTTTGCGAAAAGGCATAATCGAGCAAGGGAGTGCCTTGCAAACAATTTAAATTGACGGTGGAACGTTCGATTGCTTACTGCGAGGAAACAGTTTCAACCATTTATCTCGGATAGGAAGGTGGAAGTGGATAGAATTCGGATTATGAGGTTTATTAGTATTTCTTCTTATTTAATAGTTTGTAAAAATTGCGAAAAAAGTTCTGATTATTTCAGGTATTTAAATAAATATTAGAGCATTTCGTCTGACTCTTTGATTGGATATCTTATTCGTAAAAATCAGGACATTAAAAAAGAAGTAACGAAGATTTCACACGATCCTGCTGTTACGCAATGTACAGGCTGTGTCAGCTCGCAACAGATTTTCACTTGAAAAGGAAGTCTCTAATGGGAACGAGCGTTTTAACTCCTGTAACGCAATAATTACCGAGACTAACCAGCGACCATTTACCGGAGCCCCACTGTATTTTCCTTGCATTAAGTAACCTTCACCGGATCACGGCCGGTCTCGAGGCCGCTCATCATAATTCTTAATGAACGCGGTTCATCGACGTATCGATATTTCCGTTTAATCGAACGAAATGGATTCGTTTCTGCGATATTACGGGACTGCGTCGTTTCCGATAGTTTTGATACGCCGTTTAATGCCGCGCCATAACACGTGTATACGCGTGCAACGATCTGACAGAGCGACAGACAGATGGACAGGTAGAAAATGGAAGGGCTAACACACATACACGATTTTCAAGTACGCTGGTCGGACGTGTAACAACTATTATCGATGTTTGTTGCGGCTGCACTAATTGTGTATTTTTAATGGCTCGGCCGTGAACCACCTCCTCTCTTTCTCACTCTCTCGCCACTGCAGCCTCGATCCATGCCGCGACTGAAGCGGAAAATCGGTCTCGCGAGAGAGGAAAAAAGAGCACCGGAAAAGAGTTAAACGTCCATAGATCGCAGGCGTTAACGATGCAATGAGCCGGTTTCACACGCGATCACGTTCCTTACTCGTCACGGATCCTGATGCACACCGAGTGTCCCGATTCGCATCGATGAACCGATTAACATGCCCCTACTGTCCCGTACTACTCGACCGTTATTATTCCGGTAGACATTACTAACTGATGCCTGAATTACCCGATTAAACGACGCGCAATTTTTACCGGCTAACCGGTTTGATTATTACTAAAGATGGAGAGAAATGGAGAAATGCGGCAGACTTTAATGTCGGATGTGTCTTGAAAATGTAGTTAGCCATTATAGTGTAGAATAAATGTAAGATGGGGTTAAAGCATTGATTTTATAGAAACTTGCAAATTGAAACAATATTATCCTCATATTATTGAATTTTTAATACTATCTTATAATAGAATTTATTAAAGTTTAAAGACGACTTGTACTGAAAGGGTTGTTTTGACTGTCTCTTATATTCAGGACTAATCGTACATTAACCGTACACTTTTCAAAATCGATTACTTTGTAATATTTAACGTATACATGGATTTTTCTGATTGTTTTTCTGCAGTATAAAGTTGGAGCTGGAGAAACTTGCTCAGGAGAAGACGGAGATGCAACGTCACTATGTCATGGTGAGTAAAAGACAAATAAGAACTAAATAAATTTCAAAAAATATATCTTTAATTACTACTATCATAAACTATTTTACCTTTTCTTTGCCTTCGAAAGATTTTTTAATTAAACAAGCACTTATCTTCTGACCAATTGATTAAAATGGAAACGTTGTAACAACTCGAATCAGACACGCGAAGAAAAAGTATCGTAGATCGAGACAGAACCGAATTTGTGCTACAATATTGTAGCAGCTGCAAGAATCCCCTTTTACGAACCAGTTAGAAAGGTATTGAGAAAAAATGAACGCCTTGATAAACCGCATTTCTTGAAACCTGATCTCCCAGTGATTCGTACGATGAAAGCTTGCTAGTAATTGATTGTTTTTATTGGTCGAAGAAGTTTCCCGTCTTAATTGGTCATTAAAAAATATGTTCTTGTGCGGTTGTTCTGGAAACATGGCTCAAGTGAAGAAAATAGTGGGAACTTGTCCTTGTTTTTGCTTAGAAACACTTCGTTGTGTTCGATGTTTCATTTCAAATGCTTCCAATGCTTATTCAATTGCATACGTAAATATGAAAAGAGGTACTTATGGACTATTAAATTCCTAATAAAAATTGCGCGCACAAAGCAATGTTAATGTATACAGCTCACCAGACCTATTTATCACATTGTGTTTCCGCCACGTCTCCTTTATTTTCAGACTTCACTTTCCGAACTCCGTACTTTAGATTCTACACTTATTAATATTGAGATCTACAAAATTAATCATTATCAATACCTCAGTCAGTTCTCTAACAACAATCCACAAGCATGCCATTCAACGTAAAACCGAAAAGAAAAAAGAAAACAATCTTAAATCCTTTCACTGACCCAAATTCTTTCGTCAAGAATCTGCTGAACTTATTGTTATAAAAAGTACGATACGTTCCTCAAATAACTCTTCGTTCAAATACAGTAGCCGCGTTAATTTCAAATCCGTTGATCGCCGCCTCAAAGCGCGTGAATATTTAAACGATCAAAGAAATAACGCATAGATCTAGAAGTAAAAAGCGTCGCGCAAGAATCGGCTCGATCTAAAGGACGATCATCTAACGAGGCCCGGAGATCAGCTTCAGAACAGGCCATCGTCATTCAGTCGACCCGCCGAGCGGGTTCTTCGCGCGTATTTCTTCGTGGCCGCGCTACCATCTCCTTTTCAGTCAGTTCGCGGTGCTATACACCGCAGTCAGGTGTATGCACGCGAGAGAGGCCGCGTGTATGCATGTATACACGGCTGGCAGCGATGCTGCGGCTTACTTTCGCCCGTAGATCTTCATTATTGCGGCGCAACGTCACCGGTATATGCGTCTTCATTAGCAAGAGATACAACGCCGCGCGCGCGCTCGCGCTGGTATATACGGATTCGAATCACATTCGACTCCCATGGAGAAGGTCGCGGGTCGTCGACGAGGCGGTGTGAAAAGACGTCTTTGAATTTACACGGCACGCATCCACGCCGCGCGGCTGGCGGACCCATTTTGTCCCGGTGTCGATTAAATGAACCGTGTTATCGCGCGCGATCATGACGCCTCTCTAGCTGCGTGTGGGCGTGCGCGTCTATGGAAGCTTCTCTCTCGTTGGGATCTAGGCGGTGTTTAATGTCAACCCGTTAGAGTTCACCGGTAACGGTCTAGACAGTTGATAATGTTTTCAGTTTGTAGCTTCTGCATTATAAACTTGATTTGTCGCTGAAGAATGAAAGAGTCGTTAAGTTTAACAGATTGTGCATGTGGAAATTTGTGAGAGAAGAGGTATTGCGAAAGCAATCTTCATGCGAGCAAGTAATGTGTTGAGTGTTATGGAAGTTTTTTTAGGTTGTTCGTATGAATTTTTGTTTTAGAAATATGAAGAGACGTGGAAGTTTTCACGGAACGGGAAGCCATAGTTGTTATTGTGATATTTTGAATTTTAATCAGGATGGCTGGCTTATTAATATAACTGTAAATTATTTGTTGGCATATTCTGCATCTAAATTTTCTTTTGAGAGGATTGTCCACGCGCGGTCGCAGAAATGATTTGTTTAATTCTTGTTGTTTAAAATTTAAGAACTACCGTGTAGCCGGTCAATACTTTACCAACGGGCTGACAAAACAGTCTCCAAGCATTTATGACTTCGCATAAACTCATAGGCCTATTCACACCGAAGTCATAAACCGAAAGTAACGTCTTTTTAACGATGCCAGGGTTCTTTGACCGTGTTGGTACCCGGAGAAAATTTCAAAGGTCCGTCGAAACTTATAAAAAAGAAGTCTGCATAGTTCCCTTTATTAGTTGATTAATTGCTTTGCGTCACAATGATTGTACAGGACATCTAGTAAACATTTAGTAAATTTTCGAAGATTCAATTGGTACTACATTACAATTATTATACTAATTTCACTTTACGTCAAAATGCAATTCATAAAAAATTTGAACCGTCGCACAGAAATGAAAAATAAGAAGTACATCTTCAAGAGATCTAAACCTATTTAGTCAGAATTTCTTAATAGACCGTTCCTTTCAGTAATAATCTCAAAAATACAATAACACACGATTCTCTTCTTTCCGAAAGTTCGATTATTAACATGAATTTCCAATGCAAAAAGCCAACATCAGTTTGAACATCACATTCAGTTTTCGCACGAGTGTCTTCAAGCGACGCTGTCTCCGCGCGATAAAAATTTTAAAAGCGCGGAGTCCGATATCGCGATTTACGTTCGCGCGGCATTTTTCAGGCACTTTTATCTCCACGCGATTTGCATTGTAACGGCATCCGTGCACGCAGCCCGGTCAGGGAAAAGGATCAAGATCATCGTTCGTGGTGCTATGAAATGAAAAGAGGGCAAACAGTAGGCATCGGCCGGGTCGTTAGAGTTTATTGTCTTTCGGTCGCGTTGCGGTTATCGTCGACGCACGGTAATTTATAGGCCACGGTCCGTGGCCGCGTTCGATGCAAATGACTTCATACAAAATGCACGGCGGGCTGCTTGCGTGGACGTGGCACTTCCGCCGATTCACGCACTACGAAGATTAATCGACCGATCGCGATGCCCGTGTACGTACGCGCGTACGGACGCTCGAGCGTTGCCTGTCCGTCGACCAATTGATCGATCTTCTTCCGAGACGACCCTTTTCTTTTTTATTTTCTCTCTCCCCCCGTGATTCCTCGCACGATCCGCGCGCGGTTCGTTTCGAGCGTTGCATTTCAATTCGTAACCGGCACGCATCCGCTGACCGCGCGTCGTCTACCGCGTATCGTCCATCTGTTGTTTTCTATGAAGCCAGGAGCCACCGTTTGAAAAAAATAGTTTTTCCACCCCGTTCAAGCCGGCGGTTATTTCGTTTGTCACTCGCGGTGCGTCGATGAATCCCGAGAAAAATACACGTCGATCGGTCGAGGGTCGACGCGCTGGAAACTGAATTCGAATCGACGTTCGAAGCGTGAGTACGAAACTGGTCATTTGTTATTACCAGGCCCATGTCATATTACATCGTTTTGTCACTCATGATTAATCATCGACCAAACAAGAATTTATTGTATTGGTTCCGATCCGCGTCGCAGCAACAGGTACACTTGTCGAACATACGCATCCGTCCCGATGTTGTATCGAGTTACTCGTAAACGCGCTCCTAATGAATCGGTTTGCGCGTGCGCGTGAGCCAGTAATTGGAATGATTTGGCTAAAATCGAGAGAGCCGTGTCATTAACTAGACGCCGAACGTATATTTCGCCGCGGAGAAACAGATTGTTTCCTTTTGCGGCTTCAAGTTTTCATGCGGCGTTAAAGAGTATAGGATACGCCGAACGTTATAAACAACGCTTTAATTTTACGATTACTTACCCGCAAGGGAAACAGTTTATAGTAATTATACACGCTTCGTTTGTCAACGTGCGGTTTTAGAAATATTTATCGCGCGGGACGTGATAATTTGTTGAGACAAAACATTTTCAAGAAGTTTCAACTCGGCGGATGGAATTTCCTCTGATTTTTACATCCCAAGTTTTAATTACTAATATATTGAACAGAAAAGAATCGTTATCGAAATTTAAAAGTAACGTCTGTAGCATTTTGACAGGGGGATAATCATTTTCACAACTATTCTCGAGTTTTTCAAATATTCAGTAGAATACAGCACAGTTGAAAAAAATCCGTGTATCAACTTAAAAATAACGTGCTAACTTTAGTTTCGAAAGAACACATAAATTCAACGGATGGCTACTTGAAATAAACGACGCACGGTCACTGCGGGGACGTAACTAACAACGCGTTTAAATCCCGTCAAATTTTACTGCGGCTTCAAATGCCGCTAAAGAAAATCCGGCATTATATATGCAAGGGCCTAATAGCGAGTTTGCTTCTCACTAACCTTGAGCGACCACTTGAATCGAAATGGGGCTTTAGTAGAGGAGCATTACCGTACTTCTTCTGGATGTTCCTACAGAATGTATCCTTAATTAACTCCGGAATCGAATCGATACTCGTTAGGCGGCGTTGCAGGGGGACTGGAGAAAAAGGAAAAGGCGAAGAGCAAGAGAGAAAAAAAATAAACGCAGACACTTTTAACGCAAATATCTTGCTTAATTCTCCGCTCTGGCTGTCCCGTTGTTCTCGTTTTGTCACGGAATTACCTTCGTTTTCCACTCGCCGCGGCTCGCGGCAGCTTTAAAACGTTTTCGTGTTCGCGCACCGCGAGCAACTGGTCGGGCTGGCGTATTTTATATTCCGCGAGTACATAAACCGAGGGATTCCTGATTTTTCCGCGCGGAAAAGCCGTACGTCCGGCACGTTTTCCAGCCGTTTCGACCGACCGGTCCGTCGAACCCGATTCCACCTCCCTCCCCCTGCCCGCTGCACGGATATGTTTCCGATACGGAGCAAAACGCTGTGCTTTCTGCGGTGGTGCTTGCAAGGAGGATGCTCGTGCGGCGTCGTTATACGACGATATTGCCTGGCCACGGGGCATTACGCTTTTATGGCTCTTTCATGTAATTGTCGAG